ATATATATATATATATATATATATAGACAGTTTAAACCCTTCCCACACTCTTACAATATTCTAAACAATGTTTCTAAACTCTAAACGCTCTAAAAGAGCACAGAATGTCATGATTTCAGCTCTCTGCCACCTCTGCTCTTTGCCAACTGCAAGTGCTCTTGGCCACGCCCACTTCTCCGCTCTGCACTGAGAACAGCTGATCAGCTGCAGCAGGAAGTTTATCCTGCAGTATGGGCTGCACAAATGTGCAGCAAGTGCTAAATATTTTAAAATAATTTATTATAAATAAAAATCCCATGCCGATCGATCGTGTGGCTCATCCATCAATCAGTCAATTGTGCGTCATGCCCAATCTTATTTTGAAAAACCGCGATAGAGCGAGTCCGCGATAAATGAACCGCGAAGTAGCGAGGGACTAATGTACAAGAAAGTTCATGCTCAATAATCCAGGTATAAAATCCAGCAATGCTCAGTCAGGTCATCTGGACGGTCATTAGTGAGCATGAACTTTGGTGTTTTGAACCACTTTGGCATGACTGTCTCAGAGGAGTTGACGGAGGAGAGGGTGGGCCCCAGAGGCCGTCTTATCACCATCAAACTGTGTTTTTTCCACTATGGAGTATGCTGTTTGTGGGAATCAGTTTGTTTGGTGGCTCCTCAGACTGAAGAAATCCTTTGGATGAAGGACGAAACATCTCAGCAATAAAAGAAACCGTCCAGATGACCTGACTGAACATTGTTGCATATAAAGTCCCATCCATCCCTCCATCCATCCATTATCTTTACCCGCTTATTCCATTTTGGGTCATGGGGGTCGCTGGTGCCCATGTCCAGCAATCACTGTGCGAGGGGCGGGGTACACCCTGGACGGGTCGCAAGTCCATCACAGGGACACATAGAGACAAACGAGACAAACAACCATGCACGCTCTAACGCACCTAGGGACAATTTAGAGTTACCAATCAGCCTAACATGCATGTTTTTGGTCTGTGGGAGGAAACTGGAGTACCCGGAGAAAACCCACGCATGCACGGAGAGAACATGCAAACTCCACCCAGAAAGGCCCCTGGACCGGGATTTGAACCATAGACCTGCTCGCTGAGAGGCAGCAGCTCTATCAGTTGCGCCACCGTGCTGCCGCATATAAAGTCATTAGTTAAAATGTTAAATATTTTCTACTTTGTTTTTTTAATACTATTTAAACTATTATCCTCAACATTTCATTTTAATCTTAACTTAAAAACTCTATTTGCAATCCTGGGAAACAAGCAATTTCCTCCAATTTTTTCCTTCTGGGTGACCTCAGCACTCCGCCGAACAAACACAAATTGGCATCTAGTTTTCAGAAACTATGCACGCTGCATGCAGGTTTGTGTGCAGACAGGAAATAAAGCTTTTTTTTTTTTAGTGGGGGGGCGCACCTGTTATCTGCGTCTGCCCCTGTGGGTTGAAGGAGTTGGCCGCCGTGTTGAGGGCTGGTCGGGGGCTTTGCGTTGGAACCGCCACCCTCACCCTCATCCTCTCCAGCTCACTGAGACGGTCTGAGAACAGGCCAGTTTTGGGCGGATCCTCCAGCTTTTGACGATGCCCTGCACAAAACAACAAAAAGGTTACACTGATGCCCCACTGGTGACTGAACCCAAGTTTTGTAAACAAATTGAAGCTAATGCAATCCCCCCTTTCCATCATAATATCACAGTCTATCTCCTTTGAGTCCATCTTTAACAGCTGAGCCACATTAACCCTCCGCTCACTGCATCTGCTGTTAGGCTGGCTTCAGCCATCTCAACGTCACTGTAAGATGAAACATCACTGTCATCTTCAGCTGCTCTTGGATTACGGTTTGTCAAATAACCTGTACAATGTGCAGATGAGTCACTTCTTCTGCGCTTCACTTGGTAAACAGCCTCCTGAACAAAGAGCTTCAGGGGAACGGACGCTACTTAATTAACAACCACTCAGGCATTTATATCCGTTCACCTGAGGCCAGGCTGTAATCTGAAGATGAAGCCTCAAACAGACAAAATCTCACACGCCATTAATCCATCACGACCACTGCCAGATTATTAGTATTATTTGAAATCTTCATACTTTGCTTTTGTTTTTAAACTTCTTTATCTACCGGATTATATTCTCATCAATAATTCAAGCATGTAACTCTGCTCTACTGCTACACACACACACACACACACACACACTTAAATAACACATTTACTGAAAGTCGTGCACACAAACCCCAGACAGAACGTAACTCTCTCCGTCTGAGCCCAACTTGATCCCTGAGCTCTATCTGCCTTGTAGTGGGAACCAAATCAAACCCGCCCAGTGGGCCCAGGTGTGGACTACAGTTTAGTTAAGGTGGGGTGGAACGAGAGGCCTGTGCACACACACACACACACAGAACTGTGTCAGTCTGTCTGTCTGGTCTTGCACGAGTTGCCCTGTAAAGGCGCTAAAGTAAATATGAAACAGAGGGGGAGTAAAGCTCCTGCTGTACTTGGCGGCGCTCCAGCTGGCTCTGGCAGAAACAGCGAGCTACTTCAGAATCCTGCCCAACCTGCCTGCAGCCGGGCCTGGGAACAAAGAGCTGACGCTTACACCTACAACTCAGGCTGGGTGTCGAGGAGAGCCGACAAAAGGGAAAACAGACCCGCTCTATAAGGAACCATCAACTGCACTAAATTAAAGGCCTCCTTGAAGGAATGCAAATCACCCGCCTTTCATGCCACATTTAGACGAAGATCATCTCATGTTGAGTTGCAGTCGTTTTGGTCAAACTTTTAGAATAACATTATGCACGCCTGGAAGTACAGCTACTACCATGTCAAATATGAGCACATTACGGGTAAAACCGAATGAATTACAGCCATGTATGCGTTTTCCAAGCTCAGTTGGCTGCTGTGGCCATCTTGAATTGCATTTGCTCCAAAGATTAACCAGTAGCACATGTGCATCCAGTGACTATTTACTAAACGTTTCAATAAAATCCATCCAGCGGTTCATGAGATAATTTGTTAACAGACAGACGGAGTTGACTTCAAAATGTTAATTGCAGAATTTTAAACAAAGGACTCGCTGATCTGTTGGCGCTTAGATTGGATGTTGGAGATAAGTCTCAGCGACTACCACGCCAGATTTTAGGTCAATATATGTAAAACTGACAGAGTCACAGCTGTTTATGTGCATTTTATGTTTAGTTAGCTGTGGCAGTCATCTTGAATTGGGTTGACTCCAAAAGTTAATCATTTGGAGAGGTACATCTAGAGATTACTTTCTGCAAGTTTACTACAAAATCCATCCAGTAGATTATGAGCTATTTTGCTAACAGACACAAACATTTGCAGGTGATAATAATAATAAAAAAAACCCTGAACCTAAATGTATTAATAACATCCTGACTGAGGAGCTTTGTTACATCTCTCATCCAGCTTTTCTATATTCCTGCAGACTTTTTCAGACACTTTAATGGGCGAATAAATGTGAAACGACAAGACTGGATTCCTTCGAAACCGCCTATTACGGCCTGGCACCTTCCCACTCCTGCACCGACACAGTATTTCAACCTCAGATATGCCATTAAAAACCATCTCACTCTTCACAACAAATTATTTTAGTGCAGAACAACATTTTGGAACATAAACCCCCCCAAACCCTGCAGAAATGAAAAGTGATTTGAGAATGGCAACAGGGAAATGGGAGTCACAGGCAGACAGGCAGACAGGCAGACAGGCAGACAGACAGACTGACTGTGATTTTTATTGCAACGACTGGCTGGCATCATGCAGCCCCAAATAAACCAAATATCTTGTCAAGCTCTTCCAGTAGCTGTGCCGCGGAGAACAACACGGAGTATTCAAAACCCCCTCGTTAAAGTCCAGATAACATAATTCATTTCCATATTTCATTAAGATCCCCCCTCGTCTTTCCGGCAGATAATTTGTGCGTGCCGTTGGCATCCCTCGCTGCTCCCAGTCAATCACGGCGTTTCCATTTTCAACAGACTGAATTTCTATTCTCAAACAGCCTCGGGACACAGTGCTGCCTTTGTGTGCAGACTGTCTCCTGGTGATGGGAATAAATAGCTGTAAGAGTCCAAGGGAGATGAGGAGGAGCCACGAGCAGAGGAAGAGACCCCGATGACCAGTAAATTAAGAGCTGTGCGTGTGAAGCGGCCGGGCGACACGGGCTCTGAGCCGAGAGCAACAAATGGTGAATCAGTTAGTGTAAGAGGCCGTTTGGGATTTCAGCATCTTTCAGGAGGATCCCAAATTACAGAGACCTTTGGATGTTACGGTGATGAGCAAACGTTGGGCAGGAGTTAACGTTAATGTCGACATGTACAGCGAAACGTGCGCACGGCTGATCAGTCCTTGGTTATAAAATGCCAGATGGGTCAAATTTATGGATAAAAAGCTTTAAATCTATAAAAAACCCTAAAAACAATTGCTTTCTTTTTGCTTCAAACTTCTACAGCTGGATTCTCTAAGCCAGTGATTCTCAACTGGTGGGTCGCAACCCCAAAACGGGCCACAGACCTGTTTCCAGTGGGTCGCTGGCTTTACAGATGAAATGGTTCAGTGTTCTGATTATCATGTCAGTTTTATGGTTTATTGCTTTTTGTTATATGTTCAACTCGCTCTGCGAAAGCGACCTACAGCAGTCCCTCGCTACTTCGCAGTTCGACTTTCGCGGACTCGCTCGTTCGCGGTTTTTCAAAGTAAGATTGTACACGAGAAAAAAAAAAGTTGTACTCGATGCACGATTGTCAACTTTAATATTACTCGGGTGATTGGGACAGTACGGGGTACAGTAAAAAGTTAGCAAAAAAAAAAAAAAAACTTCAGACATGCGCTGCCATTTTGTAGTTTTCTTTCAATAAGCCTACACTACTGCCACTCAAAAGTACTACATTTCCCAGAAGCAACAGTGCTTCCTGCCGTTGCCTTCTGCTGAAATGGAAGGAAAGTTCTGATCTGATCCAAAAAAAGTTTGGTCCTTATTCATAGTGACTTTTGTGTCCAGCAGATGCAGAGAGTCGCACGGAACCGGACCAGAACCGGACCAGAACCGGAGCTCCAGACTCACCGGTCAATCTGAGTGCCGCCCGCCGGCCCACGAGGCCTCCTGGGCAAGAATGCAGAACGCCGGGAACATAATCCCAGCAATAAAAGAGGGACTATTGTATTTTAAGTAGTTTTGACAAACCTTTTTTATTTATGTCACATTTGTGCATGAAAGCACTAAGTGGTAAAAATCTTTAAAGTTAATGAACTGATCAGTTTTGGTTTTAATTAAAATGGGGCTAAAATAGAATATTTCCTTCTCTCAAGCTTCTTGCTGGTCGTTTTGGTTTATTATTAAACTTGTTACATTACTGGGAGATAAAGTTAGAGAGGCCAGACTGAGATGGTTTGGACATGTCCAGAGGAGGGACAGTGGGTATACTGGTAGAAGGATGTTAGAAATGCAGCTGCCAGGAAACAGACAAAGAGGAGATGTATGGATGCAGTTAGAGAGGACATGGAGGTAGTTGGAGTGAGGACAGAGAGAGATGGAGGAGGATGACTCGCTGTGGAGACCCCTGAAGAGGGAACAGCTGAAAGAAGAAGATTAAACTTGTTACATTGTCTTGACTAACTGTGACATTATATTCTATATCAGGTTCAAACTGCATTTTCTTTACTTTCAGTGAACTTGAGAAGTTAAAAGTTTCTGGGTCGCACCACTCTCGAAAGGAAAATAAATGACGTTTAAAACACAGGGAAGACAATAAAAACACGTTTTGGTCTGGTCAGGTTTCAAATCTTTGTGAAAACTGCTCTTATAATTTATACAACGACTAATCAATAGCCACTTTTACAGGTAAAGTCCTCCAATAAGATTGAATAAAGTCTAGAAAGGCGGTATATTGTTCTAATGAATAATCCCACCTGCACCAAATACACTGATCCCTTCATAAATGAGGAATCAGAGGAAAACAATTCCTTCTTGCACACCACAAAATCACCTAATGAACATGTAATTAGCTCTCAACACTTCTGCCAGCAAGCCTTACAGATGAAGAAAGTCCAAGCACGGCGGTGGACTGATCATAGTTTGTGTCACGCCCAGCAGCAAAGATAAAATTTCACACTTGAAGACAAGAACGGATTTATTTAATTCCATCAAACTCTGGATAATATGACAGTTGTCAAAAAGGAAAGAAAGCGGAGAAGCGTGTGCATTTACAGGAATGGACAAATTCACAACAGACTAGTCAAGTGGTGTAAGTCGAAGCCTGGGCTGAAATATTTCAAGAGTTTTGTTTAAAATTCGGTGAAGAAAACGACTTTTTGAAAGAAATACAAGTGGAAAAAGCCCTCGCCAACGAACTTGTTGAGTCAGAGAGCTGCACAGAGAGCTTCAAATTGTAATACATGACAAAAAATGACTTGAGCGCCCAAACAAATAACTTATGTTCACAAAGTTTGTTTTCTCAGTCATCCAGGTATATAACAACAAAAAAGGTTGAATCATGTCATCTGGACTTCGTTTTTTTTGTTAAAAAGAAACGTTTCGCCCCTCATCCAAGAGGCTTCGTCAGTCTGAG